GGGGGGTTCCCCCCCCCCCCGTTTTTTTTTTTGGGGGCTTTTTTTGTTTTTGCCCCCCGTTGGGGGTTTTTTTCCCTTCACCCCAGCGGGGGAAAAAATCCCGAAAAAGTTTTGTGGTTGGTTCCCCCGGCCCCCGGTTTTTTTTCCCCCCGGGACTTCCGTTTTTATTTGTTTGAATTTTAAGTGACCCCCCCCCCCCCCCCCCCCCCCCCCCTCTGGATGTTGGATGTTGGAGCAGGGCGACATGCCGATGACCGTCGCGACCCCGCGGATCGCCATCAAGGACAGCACCCTCGGGGGCCTGCTGAAAAAGCCTGCCAAGGCGAAATGGGTGAGTACGGCGAGAGGGAAAGGGGGGGGAGAGAGAAAGGCGGGGGGCAGAGAGAGAGAGAGAGAGAGAGAGACAGACAGACAGACAGACAGAGAGAGAGAGAGGGAAATGAAGAGGGATATCACCGTGCCTTATCAAATAACACCGCTCGGTACTGCTGGTGATACGATACTCACGTGTTGCATGTCTCGGACTCGAACCGTGTGTCATGTTTGGTGCATCTCACTTCTTTGTGTAATTTATGCACACAACACACAGAACATTATCGTTGTTTTTGCTCTTGTTGCTGTTGTTGTTGTTGTTGTCGTCGTCGATGTTTGTATCTCTGAGACTTGCCGTGGTTCTTCTTTCAACAGGCACATGACGTTTCTCGGCGAAGACCCTTCGTCCCGAACAAGGCACGGCGTAAATAGTAGCGATACCTTGGTGCTGTTATCCCGAATATAACAACTGACGTATTTTCGTTGGTCAGGCGGCTACCGTGGCTCGATCGATGCTAAGTCAACAACCAACAACAAACACACGCACGCACGCATGTATGCATGCCCACGTTGCCATCCTCCCGCAGACGATGTTCATCCTGAACATTCGGCAGGCCGCCGCCGAGACTAAGGACTCCCTGTTCACGTTCGGTGCCGGGGTGGACAAGAGGCAGTGCGCCTTCCGCTTCGCCTTCCAGAAGCTCATGGCCGACCTGCAGGTGTGGCAGCTACTGTTCTTGCTGTTCATGCATGTGTTTTCAAAACAGAAATCGGTACTGAACATATGAAGTTGGTCTTTCGTCTTGCTACTGTAGACTGTGGAGGCTCTCTTTTTCTCGCAATTCAAAAACGTGTCGCGTGTGTATGTGTAGAAGACCTCGCAACGATCGACGAACCGAGAACAAGTACAGACGGCACATGAGCGATCATGAGGTGGGTGGTACTGCTCTGCTGTACCTAAATGAATTTTCAAAACGGATTAGCGTCACTGCATTTGATGAATGCGTTTGTTACACGTCTGCTAGAGTCTCTTGTTTCTCCCAGTTTAAACCCGTGCCACCCATAGCACCTCCAACACACGTCGAAAATTCAACCAAGCGAAACCGTCAGGACAATACATAGGCGACCTACAGCTAGCTGGGTGCTCCACATTGCGCCTGCGCTCAAGAACTCCTTGGTTTAAAGAACTTGGTGCGCGACACCCTATCGAACAGAAAGAAGAGTTTGAGCTTGACTTGTGAGCACGGATAAGAACCAATCGAACCATACAACCTATAGATGTTGAGGTATCCCCTCAATCAAGGATGCCCTCAATCGAGGGTAAGATCCATCCAAAGTCTGTCGATACTACACACGCACGCATAGCAGACGGATAGGGCGGGTCCCTGGAGGATATGTTTTGTGCCCCGTGCTGCGTGTAGAGGTTCCGTGAGGTGAATGGCGGCATACTCCCAGAGTACGACCAACACCACCACCACCACCACCACCTTGTGCTTCTCTTCGATCGTCCGTTCTCAACAAACATATGAGAATTCCCAGTTGGAAGTTTCCGGCTACGAGTAGAGTTTAAGGGCTGGAGAGGCCNGTTGGATCGCCCGTTTCTTGACAAATGCACGAGACTTGTCGGTAGGAAGGTTTACGCTCTTCTCGTGCCTTTTCGCTACGAGCAGAGGTTTTCGGCTTGCTTGTGGAGGGCACCATCAGGGTTGCTAGCACCACGCTGTCCTTCTCATTGGTCTTCCGTGCTCGACGAATACATGTACAGCCATAGAGACGAGAGGGACAGTCCCGCGGTAAGGGGTTACCGCTAGGAACCCTTCTCATTGTCATGGTCGTCTTGGTTGCCCTAGCGGATCTCGCATCCCACCCCTCTCACCATTGTCCCCACACGCGCGGCGCCAATCTCACCAACCGGCTGTACTAATTGTCTCCCCCCCCGCCCCCCCCCCCCCTTCGTCTTTGTTTTGCTGGTCGTCCTCGATTCTTCGTTTCCGTTTCGTGTGCGCGATGGTGATTCTTTCCACCCCGCCAAACAAACAAGACGGAACTAGCTCGGCTCGAGGCTGCAGACGCCGCGGAAGGTGCTGCTGCTACCGACACCTCCCAGACGGGGTAATCAAATACCCCGGCATCACAAGAAGTGGTTCTCCTGACCTCTTGTTATTCGTTATACTCTTGAGTGTGGTAGTATCCTCTTGAGTGTGGTGGCGTGTACCGATGTCATCGCGGAAACTGCTGCTGCTGCTGCTGCTGCTGCTGCTTGCGACACCGCGCAGACGGCGCCAATCAAATAATCATAACACGATGACGCGGGGGTAGTCTTTATCAAACAAACAAAAACCCGGCAACACAACAAGGAGAGTAGTAGATGATAGCCGTGCTCCTCTTGGCCTATTTTTATCTATTGTTCGTTTTCCTGGTGGTATGTTGTCTTATCTAGTCTATCAGCGTAGTTGCGCATACTGACTTCTGTCGCTGGTGGGACTCTCAGCGCCTTGGTTCCGTTCTCGGAATAATTATTCTGGTTTGTTCGTGATTGCGATCGATGAGGTGCATGCAGGAGTGTCAGGCAGATGTCTCACTTTTGAGAAGTCGACGCGGCGCCCTCCATCCCACCATTTCTCTCTCCCTTCGAGTGGAGGAGGAGGGCCAGCGTCTGCTTTTTTTAGTATCCTTCAGAAGGGCGTGAACCCTCCGTCCCCGTGTTTTTTGGTGTCGTGGCACCGCCGAAAATACAAAGAATTTGTTGTCGTGATCGATCTTGATCGTCAGGAAAGGGAGTGTCGTGTCGTGGTAGTTGGAGGCGGCCCCAAAGGTGCGAAGGAATACATTTACAATGTAGATTGTTCGACCCGCTCCTATCTCTTTAGGAGGAGAGCAGTTCACATTTTTTGTTGTCCTGACGCCGCAGCCTTCCAACCGGTCCTCTGGGGTCTCGTGCACATCGTAAGTTAGAGTCTCCATCTGTCCTTTTTTGGGGGGCGTCGAGTCATGATCATTCACGCCTTGGCCTTTTCACAGGCTTGATCGGGGGGAGCACCATTGTATTATATCAAGGGAATCTTTTGTTGCAATGGCTTGGGTGAAGTTCCTGTGATTTGTCACTTTGGTTATTCGGGGGGGGGGGGGGGGGGTACTGAACTGACAAAGATTTTTTTTAAAATGGGGGGAGGGTTTTATTTT